TTTCAGCTATTATTTCTTCAAATAGATTCTCTGCCCCTTTATCTCTCTCTTCTTCTTCTGGGACACCTTAATATGGATATGGATATTAGTGTGCTTAATGTTGTCCAAAGTTCCCTCAGATTGTCCTCATTCTTTTTAATTCTTTTTTCTTTTATCTGTTCAGCTCAGATGATTTCCTCTGGTCTTTCATCCAGCTCGCCCCTCCATTCTTCTGTATCATCTACTCTGCTGTTGAGTCCCTCTAGTGAATTTTTCATTTCCAGTATTGTCTTCATTTCTGATTGGTTCTTTTTTATGTTTTCCATTTCTTTGTTGAAGTTCTCACTGAGTTCATCCATTCTTCTCCCAGGATCAGTGAACATCCTTACAACTCATAGTTTGTACTCTTTGTCAAGTATATTGTTTATCTCTGTTACATTTAGTTCTTTTCCTGGTGTTTTGTCCTGTTGAAACGTATTCCTTTGTCTCCTCATTTTGCCTCTTTCTCTTTGCTTATATCTTTGTATTAGATCATCTACATCTCCTGATCTTGGAGAGGTAGCCTATATAAGACATGCCTTATGAGGCCCAGCAATGTGCTTCTCTCTCACCACCAGTTCCAAATGTTCCAGAGTGTCTCCTGTGTGGACTGTGTGTGTCTTTATGTCTGGCAGGGTTGCTCTTGCTGTAGGTACCCAGGGAGGCTAGGCTGTCCCCCTGGCCGTCTGGTTATAATGTCAGCTGCGTGTGGTTGCTGTAGACCGTTCAGTCACTTTATTGGGTATGGGGAGCCCCAGCACAGTTCGCTGCAAGGTCTAATAGCACATTCCTATTGCAATTTTTCTGTTAAGTGGGTAGTCCCACAGCATGGCTGGTTGTTAGGCTGAGGGGCTTACAATTGCTGTAAGCCTCTGGCTTGCAAGGCTTTTGTCAGCTCTCTTGGGTTTGTAGCTGAGCCAGGTAGGCCCCAGGCATGGGAGCACAAAGCCAATTATTTCAGGCTTTGGAAGGTGGGGCCGATCCCCTCTGTTGCTGTTTGAGAAGCACAAGTCTGCTGCAGCAGACAAGCCCCAGTGCCCACAGCGTCACACACCCTGTCAACACAATCCCGCCCTGTGCGCACACCCTGACCCACTGAAGCAGACCTCACATACTCCACCAATGCAGGCCCACCGCTTGCGCATGCCCTGCCCTGTAGAGGCAGACCCACTCTCCCAGCCTGTGCAAGCTCACAAGTTGTCCAAGGGCTTAGTGTTGGCTGGGGCCAGTCCCTAGGGCAGGCTGCCTGCCCTGACTGAGCTGGATTAAATTGGTGCTCTAGTGGATGGGGCAGACCCTGGGCTAACAGGCCTGGGGAAGATCTCCAATGACATCTGCTAGCGTCTGTGTCAGCACACCTTTACTAGGTCACAGTAATGGCTGCTGCCAATGTCTCAGTCCCTGGGGAGGTCTCACCTTTCACTCAGATGCACCCAGTGCCTATCAAGTGAGTCTTTTTTTCACCATAGGACTGTGCATCTATCTTTCTGGTGGTTTCAGGTTGCTTTCTGAAACAGGTTAATTTGTGTGTGGGCCCTTTAAGAGCAGCCTTTCCTCCCCCCTTATGTCCAGTGGCTTTTCTGGGAGTATTCCCTGCTGTAGTTAATAGCCAGTAAAGCCAGATATTATGACATTTGTCTTGGTTTTGCTGAGTCCAAAAGGTGCTTATTGTGGTAATGCTCCCCCACTCAGATCCCCCAATCCTCTGTGGAAGGCTGTGTACCTTAGGATTGCTCCCAGCCACCAGTGAGGTGCCGCAGCTCAAAGGTGGCTTTTTTTCTCTGCAGAAAGGAATTTCTGCCTCCTTCACCTCAGTCAGCATTGTCCCTTGTTGCAGGGGTTCTTTTTATCCAGTTTTCAGTTCTCTCTCAGGGGTAATTGTTCCAAGAGTAGTTGTAAATTTGTTGTGTCCATGGGAGAAGGTGAGTTCAGATTCTGCCTATGTTGCCGTCTTGACACCATCCCCCTGAAGTAATTTTTTTATATTATTCAGTTAATTAAAATTCCACATTTATTGGCATAAAGTTGTTAAAAAATATCCTTACTGTCTTTTTCATTTTGATAGAATCTGTAGGGATCTCCCATTTTCATCCCTGACATGGGGTTTTTTGTGCCTTCTCTTTTTCTTAATCGGTCTGGTCAGGGATCTACCAGTTTTATTGGTCATTTCAAAGAACTAACTTTCTAGCATTACTGCTGCTCTCTATTCTTGACTGTTTCCTGTTTCATTGATTTTTAATTTTATTTATCATATTTGCACTAATACTTATTTTTATCTTCAGTTCCTTTCACCCTCCCCCTTTTTTTTGGAATTTAATTTTCCGTCCTTTCTCTAAATGGATGCTTAATTAGCTCTTTCATTTTCAGCTTTCCTTCTTTCTAAATGTATTTATTTAAAGATGTAAATTTCCTTTTAAAATTCAGCTCTATTTGTATTCTATATGTTTTCATATGTTATTCTTATCATTCAGATAATAATTATGTATGAAAATCAAATGCTTTCTGATTTTCATGGGGGTTTTTTGAGCCTTGGGTTAAGAGTATAAATTCTTAACATGGAGATTTTTAAGTTATCTTTCTGTTATTGATTTCTAGCTTATGTGCAAAAAGGTAACTCCAGGTGATTTTGATTCTTTGAAATTCGATGTTTGTTTTAATGTTTGGGTTTTTTTTTTGATTTGGGTATTTCAGCTGCTTTCTTTAACTTCCAATATATCACAAAAAATATAAACATATCTAGTTTTCCTGAATTTATCCATTTTACTATTTAACAGCCTTTACTAATGTGTGCATGAATCACTTGTATTTTACCTAAGTTTTCTTTCTTTTACTTATTAATTTTTATTGTGGTAAAATATACATAAAAATGGTTAAACTGGTAAATAAACTGGAATTGTTTGGTCATACATTAATTCTATATTTAACCTTTTTGGGGAACTGCCAAAATATACATTAAAATGATTAGAATGATAAATTTTATGTCGTGTACAATTTTAGTAGCAAGTGCATTTATAATATTGTGTAACCTTCATCACCAGTATTTCCAGAACTTTTATACTTTTATGTCTGGATTATTTTACTTGGCATAATGTTTTTAAGGTTCATTGTGTTGTAGCATGTATCAGAACCATTCCTTTTTAAGACTAAGTAATAATCCTTTGTATGGATAGATCGTTTTGTTTACCCATTCATCTGTTGATGGACATTTGGTTTGTTTTCACCTTTTAGCTATGTGAATAGTGCTGCTATGAATATTGGTTTACAAGTATCTGGTTGAGTCGCTCTTCTGAATTATTTTGGGTATATACCTAGGACTGAAATTGTTTGGTCATATGTTACTTCTATATTTAACCTTAATTTGTAGGAACTGCCAAACTGTTTTCTACAGCAGCTGCACCATATCAGCAATGTATAACATTTCCATTTTCTCCATATCCTTGTCAGCACTTATTTTGTGTCTTGTATGCTTGTTTATGATAGCCATCCTAGTGGGTGTGAAGTGGTGTCTTGTGCTTTTCATTTGTGTTTCCTTTATGACTAATGATGTTGAGCATAATACCATGTGTTCATTGGCCATTTGTCTTTTTTGAAGCAATATCCTATCTCCTTTTGTGTTTGTTTTTTTAAATTTATGTCAGTTACTATATTTTCAAAAGCTTGTGGCAGTAATTAGAGTTCAAGGATGATGATATTGACGTTCAGAGAAGAATTGTGTTTTTAATTACAAGTGCTTATTGAAATAACTCAAAGCTGAACTTACAACTATGTGCTTTTTACTTTAGTTCTCTCGTAAATCCAGGGATAGAGACTTCCCAGGTCCCAACACAAAACGAGTGGCATTCTATAGTGCCCCCACCCTGTTGCTGGCTCTGGTCTCGTCTCTGTCTCCTTAGTCTCATAACACTGTCAAGTGTGCCATCAGCCTCTTAGCCTTCCTGTTGGAATCAGGAAAGGTCCACAGGAGAAAAGCAACCCTAAATACCAGACACCTGCCTGTGCCACTGTCCCCCCAGGTTGCTGATCCAGTTTCTCGATGCTTACAAAGAGCTCCAACTTTTCTAGTTATCCTCCCTAGGAGGACTAGTCTACCATTAATAGGAGGCCAGGTCTCAGTTTAGTTTTTGTGGAAATAACAATTCTTCATTGTCGACTGCCTGTTTCATTGGCTTATTTAATACTTATTGAATAATGTCATTACAATAAGGAGTATAACTAGCATACACAGGTTTGGAACAAATACAACTGATAGTTGTTACCACATACTCAGTTGTTGAAATAGAAATAAATATATGAGAGTGGTCTGTTGCTTACAGTTTTTTTTTCTTTAAGGAGGGAATGGAGCGCGTTAGTTAATCCAGTGAGTTTTTAAGTGAAGGTTGATTAAGATCTTTTGTATTTGGTTCTTCTACTTGAAGCTTGTATACTGTTGAGGTTCTTGCCTTAAGTGAACCCACTATGCAGAAACCTGAACTTTTTAGGTACTCGTGATGATTTGCATCATTGGATATCAGAGTTTTTTTTACTCCTGTTTCTTTCTTGTCATCTTATTTAAAGACATCTTTCTCATTTAGTCAACAAATATCTATTCACCTATTTCCTTCACGGCAGCAGGCCAAATTCTGACTGCTAAAAAAAAAACAAAAAAAGAAAGAAAATGTTTAAAGAGAAAGAAAACGTAGAGAAATATTTAAATATAATACGTAGTTTGATGAGTGAACTAAGTGTCTGCATAAAGTACTGGGGGGGGGGGCGCGTTCAGAGAAGCAGGAATATTTTCAAAGGGATTTCCCACTTTGTTTTGAACATGACAGAGTGCAGTATGGTGGCATATTTATAGGAAGTTTATGAATTGAATTTGTTAGGTCTTTTTTAGACATGTAAATATGAGTTGAACAAGAGTGCGTTTTTCAACTCCAGGTTTTAAGGAAATGTGACGTAGTAACTGTGTGCCTTTTTTTTTTCGTTTTGGTTTCTGTTTATAGGAAGAGCATTAAGAAGTTGGTTTTGAAAAACCTTAACAATAGCAATCTCTTCTCTCCTGTTAATCGTGATTCAGAAGATCTAGCTTCACCATCTGATTATCCAGAAAATGGAGAGAGGTAAACTGAATTCTGTTTTGAGTTGTTTCTTGTAGAGAGCCTTATTCTCATTTTGAAGAGATTCTGAGATTAGGATTTATTCATTCTATGAAAACTTATAAAGTTTGATGAATGTTGCATAGAAGTATTACAGCATGTGAGCACCTAGAAATTAAGTCATGTTTTTGTTTCTTGAGTACTTTAGACCTTAAAATTATTGGAGTTCTTCTGATTCAGTTCTGCAGAACTGTTTTAGTATCCACATGTCTCATTTTGGATAGGGTTAGTATGCATTTGACACCCCTTATCCCTCTTTAGATAAAGGTTATTTTGTTTGTGATAGTTATTAAAATGATACATAGTCATTGTAACCAAACAACAAAAAACAATCAGTAAAGAAGTATAATAAAAGAGGAAGTAGAAGTGTATATACACTAATCCTTAATAGTTCATTCTATAATTATATTCTTATAGATATATATTGTAGAGATTAGGCATGAATGATATATTTTATAACCTTATTTCCCTTTATTTTAAATGCCTTTTCCTATCAATCTGACTATATCTGCCTTCTCCTTTTTTAATGACTATAGCCATTATTGTGAATGTAAGCTAATTCGATCACTTCTCTATTAGAGGACCTTTAGATTATACAATATTCCTATATTCAAAATAATGCCTCAGTGAAAAATCCCTGTATATACATCTTCGCACTCCTGTTCTTTTTTCTCTTTGGATAAAATTCTAGTTTGATTTATTATTAATGAAGCATTTACTAATACCTTGCTGATTATAATGTTAAAAATCTAAAATTTTTTCAGTTTTTTATTTTGAAATTCATCACTAGTTATTTGACCCCACATAGTAGCAGACCTTTTTTTTATGTGGAATTACTTAGAATGGTGCCAGACACTTAGTAAAAGCTCAGTAAGGATTGCTGTTGTCATTGTTACTACTGCTACAAGGGGCTAAGATATTGTTTCTATTCTATCTTTTCAGATTCAGTTTCCTGAGCAAACCTGTTGATGAGAACCATCAGCAGGATGGAGATGATGATTCTCTTGTGTCACGTTTTTATACTAACCCTATTGCCAAACCCATTCCTCAAACCCCAGAGAGTGCTGGAAATAAACACAACAGCAGCAGCAGTGTGGATGATACCATCGTTGCATTAAACATGCGTGCTGCCTTACGAAATGGACTGGAAGGAAGCAGTGAAGAGACCTCTTTTCATGAGGAGTCTCTGCAGGATGATCGAGAAGAAATAGAAAATAATACTTACCATATGCACCCGGCAGGTCAGATTTCAGATTGGTACATGGATAATCTCTTATAGTCATTTGAGACCTCTTGTTTGTCACAGATTTTTGACATAGTAGAAGTCAGCTACCTGAACCTTTAGATGTTTTTTAATTGCATTTTATATGTTAACATTTAAACACTTTTCACTTAATGCTTTGGTTGATTTGTAATTCACATGCTTTTTGTACCTTTGGAGTAGTTAAAATTCATGTCACTAAAATTATCCTGTTTTAGTTTAAAGATCCCAAATTTTATAACCAGAGAGACTATCCTTATACTTTTTTATAAACTCAGATAGATTGCTTATTACTTTTTAATTAAAATGATATTGGTAATTATTTCTTATAAGGTTTTTGAGATTTGATTTAGATTAAGTATATAGACCATGATACCTGACATATGTAGGCATTCCAATGGTAGCTGTTGCTATGGTTTTTTATCACCCCAGTTCTGTGCTTTTCTTTCCCCCCAACAGTGAGCTGATTAGTTTTTCCCGAACTAATCCATGAAACCAGTAATATAAACTACAAGATTAGAGTGTCTTGATTGGATACTTAAAGCTTGCCATTTTTCTGTGTTGACGTAACATCTCATTTGGGTTTTAATGAATGTCATTACATTCCCTTTTTTTTTTCTTTTACAGTGTACATACAGTGAAATGCACAGACCTTAAGTGTTCATTTCAGTGAATTTTGGCATATATATACTCAGTTACCTAACAGCTCAATCAAGAGATAGAACATTTCTTTCACCCTGGAAAGTTCCTTTGTGTCCCCATCCCCAGGGAGAAGTCAACCAGTGTGGTTTCTGTCACAGAGATTAATTCTTCTTATTCTTGAACTTCATATAAATGGAATCATACTATACATATGCTTCTTGACTATAATTTTTATGAGATTTCATTCATGATGTATATCTCAATAGTACATTCTTTTTTATTGCTGAGTAATATTCCATTATATAAATATGCCACATTTGGTTTATACATTCTTGCTAGTGAAGATATGAGTTGTTTTACTGTTAACTCTTGAAGCGTCTGTAAAATTTTTCTATATCTAATTTTCTTATTTCCTTCCTATATATCTTCTGACCACTTGGTGCCCTAAGAAAACAGCTTTATACTTTCATATTAAGAATCCCAAATATCTATTGTTTGTGTGTGTATATCTGCATGAATTTGTTATAATACTCCTTTTTTTCCCCAAATACCCAGTCTAGATTTTTTATTGATTATAGTTTTCTCACAAACCTTCTTTGCCATCTCCCAGTTAAAATTCCATTTCCAAGGACATTCTAACAACCCTCTAAACTTTGCCAGTAGAGAATCAAGTTGAGTATACAAGTGGGCATTTCTGGAGGTTAGAGTTTGATCTGATATTGGCCTTAAATTCTTGTCTCTCAGAGAGCAAGTTAGCGTGATCTCTACCTATAAATGGGACAAGGAGTGATTAGAACAAGCACACCAGCGTTCTATTTTCTTTGAGTTTTTCAAAAATCTACCTAGTTGATGCTTTTTAAAATAACACTAATGTAGACCTTGAAGTTTCCGTTGGTCTGTGGGACTTTCTCATGTAGGATTTTTCGTCTTGATTTTCGCTATTTGGGGATGTAAATGTGGAAGATATAAGAGGTTTATGGAAGACAATAGGCTATAAAATAAACAATATTGGGTTTGGAGTTTTAGCTTCACCTCTACCACTGAATTACTACGTAAGCCAAAGCAGGTTCTCTCCATCCTGAGTTTTGGTATCTTCACGTTTAAAATAAAAGAAAAAGTGGTTAAGTAAGCCTTTCCTAGAATGTGTTCTATGGAATGGGTTTCATAGTGCAGTATGTTAACGGATGTCAGTGAAAACAAGGTTCTGTGATTAATTAAGTCTCAGAAACACTGGATTAAGTAAAGTTAAATAGGCTTCATTATTTTGCAAGTTCTCAGAGCCTATAATACGCTGTCGTGTGCATGTTACCCAAACGTACTTGCCCATGAAGCTTTTTTTTAAAAAAATACATAGTTTCTCCTAGGAGTATTGTTTCTTAGAAAACCAGTTTGGAAAAATGCTTTACTCCAATAATTTTTTCTTTATATAGTAATTTAGTTACTGATTATTGAGGTAATTTTACAAGTTACTCATTTTGTAGAAAATTTTTTAAAAGAGAAAAGGAGTGAAATAAATATTACCGAAAAGTCCTCTGAGGACAATCAGAATTAATATTATATTTTCTGTTTGTCATAGGCATTGTTCTCACTAAGGTTGGTTACTATACAATTCCATCTATGGATGACCTTGCTAAAATTACCAATGAAAAAGGAGAGTGCATTGTTTCTGACTTCACTATCGGTCGTAAAGGTGAGTGTGAATTTAGGAGTTGTAGTGTATAAGCCAGAGATCTGCACCTTATTTTTGTAATTAAGAAAAGGAAGCTCTTGGTAACTGGATTTGTTTTTTTCCTACATTTGGACCCACCTTGGCCTGAATAGTAGGCACTGATTGACAAGTACTGAAACAAGACTGTAACCGTAGAACATTCTTTGGTAACAGTTTGGTTTATTGTAGTTTTCTACAATTAAAGGAAATACTGTAAACAGCAGGAAATACTAAGAAAATTGTATAGTTGACAAGAGATGGGTAATATTTAGGTTCAACTTCATGTCATAAAGGTTATTACAGATATAATTTTCTTGGGGAAAAAAAAATCTCATCATGCTGTATTGGATTAAAAAAAGGGCTGAGATCTTTCGACTCATACAGTAGGCTAGGTGCTAAGGGTTGCTTATATTAGCTGCAGTACAGGTATTTGGGAAGAAATTTAAGAAGAATGTTTTGAGGATAACAAAAGTGCTGCAAACATGCAGATGTTAAACCAGAAAAGAATGTCTTTGCTGTCACTCTCTGATACATATTATGGATGAAAACAGCCCATTCAGAGTATTGCTGGGAGATTTAAAATATTGGTTAATTTAAAGCTGCATGGGGCCGGCCCCGTGGCCGAGTGATTAAGTTCGCGCGCTCCGCTGCAGGCAGCCCAGAGTTTCGTCAGTTTGAATCCTGGGCACGGTCATGGCACCACTCATCGAGTCATGCTGAGGCGCCGTCCCACATGCCACAGCTAAAAGGACCCACAGCTAAGAATATACAGCTATGTACCAGGGGGCTTTGGGGAGAAAAAGGAAAAAAAAAGCTTTAAAAAGAAAAAATAAAGCTGCTTGTTTTTTCTGATTATTTACTTATTAGAAGTGTAAAGTAGGTATTTGCCCTCTATATAGGATGAGTTTTTAACTATTTTCTCTGAATTGTAGGTTACGGTTCAATCTATTTTGAAGGAGATGTGAATTTGACAAATCTAAATTTGGATGATATTGTGCATATCCGAAGGAAAGAAGTAATTGTCTACTTAGATGATAACCAGAAACCACCTGTGGGTGAAGGGCTAAATAGGTATGAATTTATTTACATATTTAGAAGATAATCTGCTAAATCACAATTTGTTTCTGTAAACACAAATATGTTCATATTATATATATTTTTCTGCAACTTGCTTTTCTCACTTATCCTACAGTGTGTGCTTATTGTTTCTGTACTTTGATTTAAAAATATAAATCACAAAGAAATACTACACTATGACTTTCTGATTCTTTTTTCTTAATATTATCAGCTCCAACTGTTAGTTTCCAAAAACACTTTTTAGTAGTATTTTATTTTTTCTTATTTCTGCTGTGACTATGGTTAATTTTTCTCTGTATTTTAATGTGAGATGATAGCTTCTAATAGCTCTTTAGAACTTTTATGAAAGGGCCATAGTTAAAATCATTTATGTTTACAGCCTACCGAGATTGAATCATGAAGAAACAAAATCTGAACAACCCTATAACTAATAAGGGAATTGAATCAGTAATTAACTCCCCCCACCCCCACCTCCAAAAAAGCCCGAGACCAGATGGCTTCCCTGGTGAATTCTATCAGACATTTAAAGAATTAACACCACTTCTCCTGAAACTCTTCCAAAAAATTAAAGAGGTGGGAGTACTTCCTAACTCATTCTATCAGGCAAGCATTACCCTGATTCCAAAACCAGAGAAAGATAGTACAAGAAGAGGAAACTACAGACCAATATTCTTGTTGAATACTGATTTCACACTATGACCAAATGGGATTTATTCCTGGAATGCAAGGGTGGTTCAACATATGAAAATCAATCAGTGTATAATACATCACATTTACAGAATGAAGGAAGAAAACCACATGATCATGTCAACTGATACAGAAAAAAACGCTTGACAAAATTTAACACCTTTTTATGATAAAGACACTCAACAAACTAGAGATAGAAGGAAACTATCTCAACGATAATAAAGTCCATATTTGAAACCCACAGCAAATATCATACTCAATAGTGAAAGGCTGAAAGCTTTTCTGCTAAGATCAGGAACAAGACAAAGATGCCCACTTTGCCACTTCTATTCAACATAATACTGGAAGTCTTAGAGCAATTATCCAGAGAAAAAAATACAAGGCATTCAAATTGGAGAGGAAGAAGTAAAATCCTCTCTGCTTGCAGATGACGTGGTCTTATATGTAGAGAAGCCTAAAGATTCCACAATTAAACTTATAAAATTCAGCAAGGTAGCAGGATACAAAATCAACAAGCAAAAATCAGTTGAGTTTCTACAACAATGGACAATCCCAAAAGGAAGTTAAGTAAACAATTGCATGTACAATAGCATCAAAAAGAATAAAATACTTAGGAATGAACTTAACCCAGGAGGCAAAAGACGCTGAAAACTGCAAAACATTGCTGAAAGAAATTAAAGAAAACAGATAAATGGAAAGATATCCTATGTTCATGGGTTGGAGACTTAAAATTGTTAAGATGTCCATACTACCCAAAGCAATCTACAGATTTAATGCAATCTCTATCAAAATCCCAGTAGCATTTTTCTTTTTTTTTTTTTTACAAAAATGGAAAAACCTGTCCTAAAATTATATGAAATCTCAAAGGACCCTGAATAGCCAGACTAATCTTGAAAAGAAAAGAAACTGGAGGACTCACACTTCCTGACTTCAAAACTTACTACAAAGCTATAACCAAAGGAGTGTGGTACTGGCATAAAGACAGACATACAGACTAATGGAAAAAATAGAGAGCCCAGAAATAAACCCCCACATATATGGTTAAATGATTTCAACAAGATTGCTAAGACCATACAGTGGGGAAAGAACAATCTCTTCAATAGGTTTTCCCAACAGGTTTTGGGAAAACTGGATATCCACATGCATAAGAATAAAATTGGACCCTAATCTTATGACATATATAAAAACTAATTCAAAATGGATCAAAGGCCTAAACAAAAGACCTAAAACTATAAAACTCTTAGACTAAAACATAGAGGAAGTTTCATGACATGATTTGACAGGGATTTCCTGGATACGACACTAAAAGCACAAGCAACAATAGTAAAAATAAACAAATTGGACTATATCAAAATTTAAAACTCATGTACATCAAAGAACATAATCAGCAGAATAAAAAGGCAACCTTTAGGTTGGGAGAAAACATTTACAAATCATATATCCAATTAGGAGTTAATAACCAGAATATGAAGAATAATTTTTACAGCTCAACAACAGCAAAACAAATAACCTGATTGAAAATGAGCAAAGAACTTGAATACACATTTCTCCAAAGATGATATACAAATGGCGAACAAGAATATGAAAAGATACTCGACATCACTAATAATTAGGGAAATGCAAATCAAAACCACCATGAGTGATCATACCCATTCTGATGGTGGTTATAAAAAAATGTTTTTCAAAAATGTGGAGAAATTGGAGCTTTGTGCATTGTTGGTGAGAATATAAAATGATGTAGATGCTATGGTAAAGATTATGGGGTGGTTCCTCAAAAAATTAAAAATGATCCAGCAATTCCACGCCTGTGTATATAGCCAAAAGAATTGAAAGCAGGATCTTGAGGAAATATTTACACACCTGTGTTCATAGCACTACTAGTCACAATAGCCAAGAGGTAGAAACAACCCAAGTGTCCATTGACAGATGAATGGATAAACAAAATGTATACGATGGAATATTATTCAGCCTTAAAAAGGAAGGAAATTCTGACTCATTCTGCACAGCATGGATGAACCTTGAGGACGTTATGCTATGTGAAATAAGCTGGTCAGAGAAAGAGAAATACTGTGTGATACCACTTATTTGAGGCATCTAGAGAGTCAAATTCATCAAAACAGACAGTAGAATGGTGGTTGCCAGGGAGAAGTGGGAAGTAGTTTTTTTAATGGATATAGAGTTTGTTTTGCAAGATGAAAAAGTTCTTGTGATTGGTTGCACAACAGTGTGAACATATTTAATACTACTGAATGGTATAGTTAGAAATGGTTAAGATAGTAAATTTTATGTTACACCTTTTTACCACAATAAAAATAATGTTTATAAAAGGTAGTTATTATGTGCTAGTCACTGTACTAGGTGCAAGGCATATAGAATGAATAGGACACAGTCCTTGAACTCAGGTATTGATGTTAGAATATATTACCACTGTTCTAATCATCTTCACACTCATTATTTAGTGGTTAATAGTATGATCTTCCTGATACCTTATTCTGCAAGCATTTGTTGTCATTCAGTGGTAGTTGCTGCTGTTGTTACTGTTGTTGTACAACAGCACTTTAAGACCTTCACTACGACGTAGGTCTTAGCACTGGACTATGACCACTGGGCTTGGTCAAGGATGCACAGCTTAAGTGTTAGTAAAATTACATTGGAAATAATTGAGATACTATGGTAGTTTAAAATAAATGGAATTTGACTATTGAATCAGATATTGAGCTAGTTGATTTAGGGGTAATTCCTTTCTCTTAAGTTTACCTACCTTAGGAGGCAAGACAAGTTAAGGAAACACCTGCAGAATAATTCCAAAGTAACACATGTACCTTTATTTGCTATTTATATAGATATTACTTGGCTTTCTTAAATATGAAACATACTTTACTTGGTTGTACGTTACAGGAAGGCTGAAGTTACGTTGGACGGAGTTTGGCCAACAGATAAAACATCTCGTTGTTTAATAAAAAGCCCAGATCGACTTGCCGATATCAACTATGAGGGAAGATTGGAAGCAGTTTCAAGGAAACAGGGAGCTCAGTTCAAAGAGTACCGTCCTGAAACGGGTTCTTGGGTGTTTAAGGTAAAGTCACTTAACTTAGTTCTTATGAATTGTAGGTAGAGTCACAGAATGTTTGTGTTAGAAGAGGTCTTCTCTTAAATTCTCTTTTTACAAATTAGGAAACAGATGTAGAGATACATCATGATTTGCTCCAAATTACCCATCTGTTTAAACCCCAGACCCATAAAGAGCTATTATAAACTTTATGGGCCCATGATTCAAATCCTCTACCACATCCTGTGAGCATTTAGATATACTACTAAGATGTGGTTTTTCTACTGCATGGCGTTATTTAGGGACATCAGGTAGAAAATTTCTTGATAGATGAACTCTTCCTAAGTGTCATTCTTTTAAAGATTTCTAGGGATGTAGAGGTTGACTTCCTCCCTTCCTTGATAGTTTAACCCAATGTTTTCTTTCTCTTTTTGGTCACTTAGATTATTTAACTTGTTGAAGGCCCTTGTGTAGATAAAAAACAACTAGGCAGTATATAAATGTGAAAATAGTAAAGGATCTTTGGATCTGGTTTCGTGTGTTAATATATTAATTTAGTAATTATATGAGCAACTAGTACATGCACCAAACTTTATCTAAATCTTAGAAAAAGGGTAAAGTGTCATAGGTGACGTTTCATTGTGCTTTAAATATTTTGATCTCTCTCATTACCCCCCCACCCCAATTCTGCAAAATTGCAAGGGCAAGTATTATGGAAGCTCTTCTGAATATAATAGTGTTAAAATTGATCTTGTTGGATCCTTCTCTTCCTTAGGTCTCCCATTTTTCTAAGTATGGCCTTCAGGATTCTGATGAAGAGGAGGAGGAACGGCCATCCAAAACTAGTACAAAAAAGTTGAAGACTGCCCCTTTGCCTCCTGCAGGCCAGGCCACACCATTCCAGATGGCTCTTAATGGCAAACCAGCACCTCCACCCCAGGTAGAGAAAGGACAATGAATTTGAATGGAATCCGTGATACAGAAGTTGAAAGCAAGTCATTCAGCTAGTACAAAGCTGTTTGATGATCCCTGGAACTTTGAAGAGTACAAATGTGTTGGCAATCACATTGAGACAAGTAGAAGGGAGGGCATGTGGTGGTACTGGCATCTGTTTTTCACTTGAAAGATTTAAAGAATTCTCTTGGTGTTTGGATCATTCCTTCTACAGATTGTCATTCTTAAACACCTCCCTCTCTCTCAGTTGGACTTGCTGAATTCTCTGCTCAGTGATCAACTTAAGATAGCATTTTGCTTGTGTGGGTTGATGCAAAGTAAAATGTACTTTTGTGGACTACCTGATGTGCAATTTAATCTTGTTCTTTACCTCCGTGTTTTTCTTAAAAGTTCACTTAGCTTTCTGCAAGGGTTTTTAACTCCATTTTTCTCAACTTATTTGCTTATACTTCAGGTAATCTCTTGATATTTGTATTTTAGCAATATATAATCTTTATGAAAATAGATAAAGTTTTAGAATACAAATGAATTATTTGGCTTGGGGAGAGTAGGGGCTGCATTGTTTATTGCAATTACTTGTATCATACTCTTTAGTATTGTTCAGCTAGTATAAACCTTTTGTCCTTTTAGGGAAAGGTTTGTAATTTAAATATCAGGTAGTTTCTTTGCCAACTCATAATGATTTTTACTTTCATTTGGGTGTTATTTAGCTTCAATCAAGTTATAAAAAATTTTTTCTTTGCTGCCATAGAACTTGATAGAGAATTTCTTTGTAAAGCATCCTCTACCTCTCAGCTGCTAAGCAGGACCTTTGGAATTTTTTGTGCTACAATTCTTATGGCTGCTGATTTGTGAGATTTTTATGATTTATTAAATAATTTCTTGGGAGGCATTTTCTGGAGATTGTTGTGTATATATGTCCATATTTGCGCGTACAGGGTGAGGGGAGGGTCTTATAAAAGTGGGAAACGGGAACCATGTCGACTTTTGTGTTTACAATCTTTGTAGCATCTAGAATACCCCTAAGAAATCTCTTCTGAACTAAAAAAATGCTGTAAATGGACTTGGTTTTCCAATTATCCTTGTTCATTTTGTGTGAATCATATCCTTTGTATAATTGCTTTCTTTCCAAAGTGTTTTTTGATCTTACATTATGTGTATTTCTTAGGATAAGAGTCAGTTAGCCTTATATTCTGCCAATAAAAGTAATTATGTAGGATCCTAAAGATACACTTGAAAAAGAAAAGCGTCATCTGTGGATGGACAGACAGCAAATTTATGTAATGTTGACCATCAGTGGTTTTTAGGCTCTTTACTTTCCAGAATACAAATAGTAAGAGATAATTATAAATTCCTGTGATGACAGACACTTCACTAGGTGAGAGCTTGTTGAAAAGATGAGCACCCAAAAATTTCACAAGAACAAGGTTCTAGGAAAAAGAGATGATAAGGATCAAAATGAGCAAAGAGAATACAGTGATTAGGGATCTTTTTCAGATACCTCCTTTGATTGAAGAAGTGGATGGTCTGACTTTTTGCATGGGAAAAGCAGAAATGGGAGATGTTGGTAGAGTTGTTTAGAAATTCAGGCTAATGTGTTAGAACAGTAATGTGGGACTCTAGAGAACTCTTCATTCATATTGCCCAGTGACCTAAGTGAGGCAGGGGGGAAATGCCATTGGTTGCACAGTTTTTAGTTATTAGTACCAAAGGCCTAGATTTTACTTGGCGTGATGAAAATACTTGAGCCATGTGAATGAACTCACAAAAGACAGCATGATCTCTTCTCATCTCAACGTCAAGATGACTATCTTCACCCCGTCACCTGGCCCCTGTAGAGGTTGATTTCCATGATAACGATGTTCCTTTAGTCTGCTGTAGCATTTTTCTTTTTCCTGTACACAATCTCAGGTTCTCTCTCTGACTTTGTGGAGTTGGGGGAGTTCTTTAGGTATTAGGAAGATTTACATTTTTGTTCAGTGGTCACGTTTATTCTACCGCCTTTTATGTAATATCCTCAGTCCCCTCTTTGCAGTTTGTTCTTAAGCCTCGCTTTGCTCCTAAGAGAACAAGTTAATCTAAGCAACGAGAAAACATAAAGGAAACTAAAATTTTATGTAATCTTCCCTTCTATGTCTTTTTAGAGAAAATGTTAGTGAAAATTCATCACACAGATGAATTTGGGTGATTTCAGCAACATTTTGTTTGGTAGTTAGAACATTAGTTCCAAAATGCTGATCTGAGATCCAGTTTTCAGCTGACTGCATCAATACCTCGGTAAGCTTTGATTCATGGGGCTCAGACATATTTATATTTTAAATGCTTTTCCCCAGGTGACTGAGATATGCAGCCAGGTCACTGTTTATTGAAAAACCTCAGATCTTTGGGATCAGGCAGAGAGATGTGTAGTTTTTTACCTCAGCCTTATACTGAAGTGTAACTTGTGTTTAGTATCATCAAGGCAGACTAGTTGACTTGCTCAGCAATTTAGCATTGTTCACTCAGTATATTCAATTAAATTTTAAAAAATTTTTAAAGGAAAAAAGTGATTAAGATTTAGAAGAGTATTCCATTGCGTCTTGTGTACACTTAAAAAAAAATAAGATGGCAGCTATTTAAACTTATCCAATGAATCAATATATTTTAATATATATTTTATATTTTTATGTAGTTTATATATATTGCATATATATAAAATAATTCTGTAGCCACAAGCCTCTTTGCTTCAGATATTAATGTTATAGAGTCCTATGCCTTCTGTAGTAATATCCCTGAATGTATGTGTGGAAACATACACACTTAACTTTGATGTGCCCTTGAAACTCTGACATGGATTTTCTCTTGAGAATGCAATATTGTTGATAAGGCTGATTTTCCACCAAAATGAATATAAAACATTCTTTGTCCTTAGAAGACTAGTTGTTTTGGAGGCGGGCAACGGTAGTGTTTATACTGGGTTAAAGTATTTTGATGAGAGGACAGTATGAATTATTTTCAAACCTGTTTGACCGTGGACTGGTTGTTTACCATTTGCTAAATAATGGTGTCTTGATTTTACTATACCTGCTTGAATTACTTGACCTGCTGGATTAAGAGATGAGATGATCCATCTTTAGGGTACTGGCAGAGCTTTGTTTGTATGAGGAAGATTCTTTTGAGTTGGAGAGTGGAGGTTTGTCAAATCATTAAAAGTTCAGTCGTGAAATCTCATCCTCCATATATCTTAATAGTCATTTTACAGATATTATCTGGGTACTGGGTATTTGGAATGTACTGTGCTGATATTTAGACATAAATAAGATACCCCCCGTTCAGGAGATTACAGTGTAGGAAAGAGAGGTTTAGAATGATACTCTATTTGGCTGCTTCTCCCATTTCTTTTCCATAGACCTCCCAGGGGCTTCCTTTTTTTTTCCTCCTCAATTCCTTTTGAGCCATCATTTTTTTATTAGTCTACTTTTCTTTCCAGGACTGGCTTTGGAAAAACACCTGATCTCCCAAGATTTCTCTGAAAATAAGTACTCAGACTTATGTATACTTGTTCACGTATAGGTGGTGCTAGGAGCTTACCAGATCCTCATAGTTTCATAGTAATTCACTTCCCCCTTGTCCACTTATTAGATGATATCTCATAGCTTTGAAATCTATGCATGAGGGTGGAGCGAATAAAACCTTGATCTTTAGCGTTCTTCTTAAAGATATGCAGGGTGTCTTAGGTCTCTAATCTAGTTATTTGATGAAATCTTCCATTTTGCCTAAAAATGTTCTAAGGGAATCTCTCATGCGTTAATGTTATTCCTGTGTTGAGTAGTGTAATAAGTTGGAACCATCCTCTCTCTTCTTTCTTTCCTCCCACTTTTCCTCTCTCCTTTTTATTCTTTCATAGTTATTAATTGCTTTTTTCACTGTGTGCCAGGCACTGCCTTAGGCAATAAAAATAGCAAAGAAAGTGTTCAGTGAATGTTGAATTTAATGATGTGCTTGGTGTTGCATATAGAAAACAGTAGGCCATAATCTCTGTTTTCAAGCCTTGACAATCTGGTGGGGCAAAGACAGATATGCAAGAAATTATAATACATCGTGATACATTGTATAAAATAGATAGAGACTTGGTGTTGTGGGAGCCCAACAAAGGACAGTATCCTAACTGACAGATTGTCAGAGAGAGGGTGGGGAGTTTCAGAACTTTTCTTAAAAGTGAATTGGTTTAAAATTAACACATTAGGGAACCATTGGGATAAGAGTGTTCCCATAATTCTTGTAATTATAATAGGAGCATCGTCACCAGGGTTGCAACCCGCCCCCCCCCCATTCAAAACATCAAAGTAGATAGGCCTGCCTGTACCCTCCCCAATAGGTAAAAAGTAGTATCATCTTTGCCTTTAGACCATTATCTAGCTTCCAGTTTTGTTAGAGCACTCCTTGGGGATTGTTCACATCTTAAGGAGCAATTCACCATGCATCCAACACCTCAATTTTTCTACAATTATAAATGGGAGCAGACAGTCTTTTAGTAAGGATATTTGTTAAAGGAATACAGGAGAGTAATAGCTAATATAACATTAAAAAATTATGCTAATGATTGTTTCTTTCTCTAAAGAAGTCATGAATTTTTTTTTAAACTACTTGTTGCATCCATCTGAGGTTTAGCCTGAAATAGGCCACTCATGAAAGATAAGCCAAAAATTGTGGAAGGTTAATAATCCACAAATCTACAAATAATCTAAAATAATTGGTAGAACTTTTTGAATTGAGAATATTTTGTGAATTGGCTTAGCCACTTGTTAATATTTTACCAGGTCATATGCAAGTTTAGAATATATTTAGTGAATTTGTACTGAACTGGTACCATTTTACAGTGTGCTTCAGCTTTATGAGTGTTTACTTTTCACGCCATAAACTGTTAGTCATGACTATATATTTAAAACTGCTTAATAAATATAACTCTTGACACTTTTAAATATAGAAGAATTATTCCCAGATTAAAATTGTTCCTAATGTTACTACTTTGTTCTCCCTTTTGGGAAATTAGAGTAGACAGTCCTCGTATCTTACATGGTACTGCACAGGTAAGAACCCAGCTGTCCTTAGGATTCAGTCACCCAAAAGATAAATTCCAGGCACAAAGTTGTGTTTACTAGAAATTTATTTTGAAATGTTTTCTTTAAGAAAATATAAAGTTACTAGATACTTTGATATTTGTACCTTTTATTCTTTTTTCCCAATGGCTTCTGGCTATAAGGTAGTGTGAGGGCAGGGTGACCCTTTGCAAATCGGAAAATTACAGTTGCTAGCTAAATCAGGTAAGGCATAGCCTTTGTCCACCATTTGTTCAGTATGGGTACTGGCTTAGGTTCCAGACACTGTATTACAAAAGGGTCAATTCATCCATCCATCATTTGGATCCCAAGTACTTATAGGAGAATTAGGGAGTATTGTTGTTAAATCCTCTTTAGCAAATATGCTCCTCACATTGTGACAGAATGGGCAGGATTTAATATTGCTGTATCATATTCTGAATAAACTAAATATGGTCTAGAAGCTCTGTGTCTATTCGGTGTATTTAATGCTGCTTTCCTGATCTATCTTTCTGCTATCTACAGAGCCAGAGCCCAGAGGTGGAACAGTTAGGGAGGGTTGTGGAACTGGACAGTGACATGGTAGATATCACCCAGGAGCCAGTTTTGGATTCCGTGTTAGAAGAGAGCGTGCCTGAGGATCAGGAACCTGTATCCGCCTCAACACACATTGCATCTTCACTGGGAATTAATCCACATGTCTTACAGGTGAAGTCCTAACCCACCCTTACTACAACAGGAAGCCAAACTAATGTATCTCCCTTGTATAACATTGGGCCTCTTCCTTGGTTATTGATTTAAGAGCTTTGAGTCCTTACTGGAATGAGAAAAAAACAGGAATATGGCCAATGTTTGGGCCACATTTTCCCATTCGGGGGGAAGGGTATATTAAGATTCAGAAGACCTGGATTCTAATCCCAGTTTTGTAACTATTACTGTGTGACTTTAGGCAAGTCATTTAACATCTGTGAGCACTGATTTTTCTCTATAAAATATTACGTTTTTACTTCACAGAGTGGTTTTGAGGCTCTGGAAAGTGCCCCACAAAAGTTAAACCTAGTAGATAGAGGTTTCTTTAAGCTCTGTCTCAACTTCCTCCTGCTAATGCCTTTTGGCATGTTATGAGTTTAGCCTTTGGCTTATGTTTGACTTTGAAATCATTCATTCAGCAAACGTGATCAACTGCTCTGTGTCGGGCTCTGGCAAGACTCTGTAGATACAAAGAAGAGGAGTATTATATAACTTGTACCCTTCAGGCACATACAGTGTACTAGAGTCAGTCACACAAATATACTAGCTCTGTACACAGCCTTGAGGCAGAGTGATTTATTGGTGGTTGTAAACTGCATTTTTCTTTTATGGCCTTTGGATTTGGGGGAACACATTCATTCTATAGATATTGCCTTTTTAGATCATGAAAGCATCATTGCTTGCTGATGAAGAAGATGTAGATACGGTCCTGGATCAACGCTTCAGTCGCCTTCCTTCTAAAGCAGATACATCTCAAGAAATCTGTTCTCCCAGACTCCCCATTTCAGCATCCCACTCATCAAAATCCCGTTCATTAGGTATTGTAAAAGATGCTATTTTACAAAAAAACTGTAAAGTCCTACTATTTTTTTAATTGCTGTAACATTGGTTTATAATATATAAATTTCAGGTGTACATCATTATATGTTTTGATTTCTGTGTAGATTACATCATGTTCACCACCCAAAGACTAATTACCATCCAACACCACACACATGTGCCTAATCACCCCTTTCACCCCCCTCTCTACTTCCTTCCCCTCTGGTAACCACCAATCCAGTCTTTATTTCTATGTGTGTGTTTGTGTTGTTTTTACCTTCTAGTTATGAGTGAGATCATACAGTATTTGAAAGTCCTCCTTTTCATATATCTTTTAAGCTGAGTCGACTTCTCTAGCAAATATCCCCCTAAAGGCATGTGATGTAAAGATACTAAGAGGAAATGTACTCTTAAACAATATCTGTTAGGTGGGGCCAGTTTTTGAAAACTATGATTAGCTTTGTTGATGCAGATGCAGAAGTTGTAGGGAGAAAAAAGCATTTGTGGTTTGTTTAGTCATATTTTTATTTTCTTATGAATGTAGATTAGATAGTAAGCACAGATTTCCTGATTTTTATTACATCTTAAAGGAATCAGCAAGTTTTCCTGCACTGTACTCTTTGTATAGTCTTAACACTATCCTTACTGCCTTCTAGGGGCAAATGTTACTCCTCAGAATGCACAAAACTTGTCAGATTTCTGCTTTTTCCTAAACCTTCCCAAATTCCCAGGGAAGTTTGATTTTAAAGCTTTCTCTTTTCTCTTCTGGTAGGCTTGTAACTGTTTGGGGTTGGAGACAGAATATTGATGTCAACAAAGGACTTAAGCAGGTGTAATTTCAAAATGTTTTGAAAGCCAAAGGAGCTACCAGGAAGAGAGTTGTTTATGTTGCCTGAAAAACTAAATGTTTATTTTTCAATTCTTTTAAGTACCCAACAGCCTTTTCCATAAGCGACACTACATGAAAATCTCATACTAACTTCTTGCTTTAGACAGGATCCATATAAAATTGAAAAACATGCAATAGTAACAAGAAATGTCCTTATGAGGGGCGCATATGCAATCACAAGGTGCCTCCATGAGTTTTTGTTTCCTTCTGTCTAGCACTGAGCATTAAAGTGGTGAGAATTTGAGTTGTAATCTTATTAACCTTCTTATTTTGACTAAGAAAGGGTTACATTTGGCATTCCCATAAGGAAATGAGCATTCGTGTCAGACTTACCTGGGCTTATCTCTGAGTCCTGTCACTTAGTAGCTTTGTGGATTTGGATAAGTCACTTAATCTGAGCCCAGTTTTCTCCCCTATAAAATGAGGATGATAATGTTCTTCATTTAAAGTTGGTGAAGGATAAAATGAAATCTTGTATACAATTGCTTATACAGAGTCTGCTGCATGTAAGTGCTAGATAATCTTTTTAAATAGTAGTAGTAGTGTTTGTTATTAGTGTTGTTATTGTTGTTGACATCATCATCATTAGAATTCCTGCCTTGATTTCCTGGTTGAAAGAGTAATTTCTGCAGCATCTAACTTGCCCTGCTTCTGGTAATCTTTATCTGATTTAATTAGTTTTGTGACTCTATAATTTTAGCCTCACTGTTGGTTGTTGTTCAAGAAGCAATAGACTGCATTTTCTAATAGTCTTTTTCCCCCCTTATTTTAGTTGGTGGGTTACTACAATCAAAATTTACAAGTGGAGCTTTTCTTCCACCAAGTGCCTCTGTGCAAGAATGTCGCACTCCCAGAGCATCGTCTTTGATGAATATCCCATCCACATCCCCTTGGTCTGTCCCTCCAACCCTGACCTCTGTGTTTTCAGTGCCCAGCCCAGCTCCTGAGGTTCAGTTGAAAACAGTGGGTACACGCAGACAACCAGGCCTAGTACCTCTTGAAAAGTCTGTCACCTATGGCAAGGGCAAACTCTTGATGGACATGGCCCTATTTATGGGACGCTCATTTCGAGTTGGTTGGGGCCCCAACTGGACTCTTGCTAATAGCGGAGAACAGCTGAGTGGCTCTCATGAACTGGAAAATCATCAGATTGCTGATTCTATGGAATATGGATTCCTGCCTAATCCTGTAGCTGTTAAATCGTGAGTCACATTTCCTTGTGCTTTTTGAGAAAGGCAACATGGTAGTTGAGAAGAAACTTTTCATCATCAGACCCAAGGTCAGGTCTCTGCTTAGTGATCATTCTACGAATATTCTTAGCACAATTTTAGATAGCAGAAGATAACTGTGTATTAAAAACTAAAATGATTAGTAGGATAAACAGAGTTATCATTTCTTCATCAAGATATGAAGAAATATAATACTTGATAGTTAAATTTTAGTTGGAAAAGTAAGCCCCAAAGCTAGTGCTGCAGCATTCCTTGGGTTTTCATCCTTATTGCATTAGTCATTTTTTCTGTTATTCTCACTTAGATATTGGTGACTTCTTGACATATAAGGCATATTCTCAACTATGCCTATTTCCTATATCTTAGACCTGATAAGGTGAATGTATAAACCAGATAATTCAAATTCATGCATAAGTATTCGGAAATAAAGTGACTTTCTGATAACTATATGTTACATATTTCTACACAGTCCCCACCATTAACATGTACATATGTGTGCTTATAATTCTAAATACACTTCATATATATATTATATATATAATAATATATATGTATGCTGT